ATATCAATACTTTGCTTCATTATAATGATTGCAATCCCCTTCGTGCACCACCAGTTAACAGTGTTTACCTCTTATTTCCTTTCACTCTTGACACTCCTCCTTGTGTCTCCTGCTACCTTCATCTTTCCTCTGCCAACCTCCCTTGTGTTGTATATTGCCTGCCCCATCACCCATATTAACATGTGTCTACCCTCTAGCCCATAAATAATTCCCCTTCACCTCTCCTTCCCATAACCATTGTTGTGTTGTTAAGTGCTGTTGAGTCGGTTCCAACTCATAGCGACCCTTTGTAGAGTTTCCAAGGAGCGACTGGTGACTTTGAACTGCCACCCTTAAGGTTCAAACCAACCTTATTATGGTCGAGTGCTTATCTTATGGTGCCATACCAGGACTCCATGACCATCATAGAATGTTTCATTTAGTGAGAAAATCTTTTCTTACCTTTTTACAACAGTAGCCTCATACATTATTTTACCTTTCGTAATTGACTAATTTCACTCAGCAGAATGTCTTCCAGGTTCATCCATTTTGTGAGGGCTTTTACACATAGCAACATTTTTCGTCAACATTGAATAGTATTTATTCCATTGTGTGTGGGTACCAAAGTTTGTTTAACTGTTTATCTGTTGATGGGTATTTAGGCTATCTCCACCTTAGTGTTACTGTGAATAGTGCCGCAGTGAACATGGGTGTGCATATATCGATTCGTGTCACAACTCTTATTTTTTGAGGCTATATGTCATTTTTCTAGGGTCAACCATTAACACTCATAGTTGCAGCACTTAAGAAACCAAATGACATGTATTGCATGAGGCACAAAAAAAGTATACAAGGTCTGCTGTGCAAGGCTTCTTTAAAGTTTTGAAGCGCAAAGATGTCAGTTTAAAGACTAAGGTGCACCTGACTCAAGCCACAGTGTTTTCAATAACCTCATATGCTTGTGATGGAATATTACTTTGCCATAAAAAGCGATAAAGTATTGATATATGCTGAAAGCAAAGAGGACTTTAAAAATACTTTTAAAAGACTATAGCTTTCAGTATGGATTGCACCTCAATGTAAGCAAAATTAAAATTCTCACAACTGGACCAATGAATAACACCATGATAAATGGAGAAAAGATTTAAGTCGTCAAAGACTTGTCCACTGTCGACATTCATGGAAGCAGCACTCAAGAATTCAAACGATGTATTACAATAGGTAAATTTGCTGAACAAAAACTCTTTAAAGTGTTCAAGAGCAAAGATGTCAGTTTGGGGAGTAAGGTGTGCCTGATCCATGTCATACTATTTTTAGTCGCCTCATATAAATGTGAAAGTTGGGCAGTGAATAAGGAAGACCATAGAAAAATTGATGGCATTTGATTTATGGTTTTGGAGGAGAATATTAAAAATACCTTGTACTGCCAAAATAACAAGCAAGTCTGTGTTAGAAGAAGTGTAGCCAGGGTGTTCCTTTGAAGCCAGGATGACCAAATTTCATTTCTCCTACTTCGGAGAAATTATCAGGAGGGATCAGTCACTGGAGAAGGATATCATGTTTGGTAAAGTGTGGAGCGATGTTCTCAGGCATAGCAATGATTATGAGGTTGGCCCAGGACCAGGCAGCATTTCATTCTACTGTGCATACGGTTGCTATTAGTTGGTACCTACTTGATGGCACCTAACAACAACAAGAAGAAGCCAAAATGGCCAGACTTTACACAAGTATAAAGCCTCATTTTATTCCCTCAGAGTGGCTGAAAGGTTTGAACCACCAACCTTGTGGTTAACAGCCCAATGTCTAACCCATTAAACTACCAGTGCCCCTCCATTTCCTGGTAACCAATAATAAATTTTTATGTCTATGCATTTGTGTATTCTACATTTTCATATAAGTGAGTTTTTCATTGTGGTTTTAATTTGTATTTTAGCCCTCATTATTTTACTTCAAGGTAAAGAGACTAAAATAAATTAAATTACAGTTCTACTTCCCTAAGTCTACTTAGCTCTTGTATATTTAGCTGCATAGCTTATTCTATGATGTAACTTGCTTTTTTTTTTAAATTTTTTTTATGAATTATGTGATAGTTTACATGGGAGAACATTAGCTTTACATTCATCCTATCCGTATATCATTTCATTGCCATGGTTACAATTGGTAACTTGCTTTTAAATGGAAAATATATTTGTTAAATACCAGGGTTGGTTGGTGCCAATACTTAGAGTAAGTAATTTTAGTAGTTTCTGACACTTAATATTAAGTGTATTTACTAATGTTATATCCATACTGAACATATATTTTTCTTTAAATGTGTGTATTCTTTTAGTGATCATTATAATTTTACAAAGATTCATTAATATCCCATCAGTCTTGTAATCTGAATCATTCCAGACTCTTTGTAGCATATCATTGTTTGGCAGATACAGTGTGTATTCCTTCATTTCCTCAGGGAAGAGGTGGTATAAATTGAAGATGCCTACTCATATATTACCTTAATGAGTCATTTGAAAGCATTCAGTCATTTCTAAATCATTCTGTGCTATCAGAATGTACATAGATTTTGTCACTAAAAGTTTTACAGAAGTAAAACACCTATTAGAGATAGAAGAGCAAAATAATAACTCATGAGATTTTTTAATAAAATAACTTCCTTAATTTTAATATCAGTTTACAGTTTTAGTTTCTTCAGAGAGATTAACAGAAAAGAAGAGTGCAGTTGTTTGATCTTGTATTGAAATGCATAGACCTAAGATTTCAAATATTAAATATTAGACTAGTTCAATTTGGACACTTTAAGTTTCATCTGGTGTAGTAATTTTACTTAATAAAGTTGCAACAGATTTAAGATCTTGTATACTTTTTTTTTGTCTTTTTTTTTTTACTTTTTAATTGAAGCAAAGTGTATATGGAAAAGTAACAGATCTTAAGTTATAGCTGTGATCAGTTATTACAAACTCAGCATTAACCATATAACAACCATGTATCTTTTCACAGGAGACTTTGCAGCAATTGATCATGATGTCATTGCCAAATGTCTTAATCATCGGCAAAAATCCCTTTTCTGGTGAGTATTAAAATAAGCATAATGTGATAACCATTCTGTGTCTTTGTAATACTATACCCACGCCTCACTAATTGACATGATTAGGTTCCAAACACCAGGTTGTTATGTAAAAATTGGCATTGTGTAAAAATGGAGACTGACTCCATAATTACCTAGCTGCCAAATCACTGAGAGTCATGGCCCAATCTAGCTGACACATTAACCATCACGGCCAATGTTATTTTTGCCTTGCGCCTCTGCATTTACGTCCAGATGTATATCCTTAATGCACAGAATAGTTGAAATAGTGGAGTATTTACTAATGAGATTGTAAAATGTCAGATAATGAGATAAGTAATAAGTGAGGAGTAAGGTGTATAGTGTTTACCAGGAACTTGCTCATTTACATTAACTTAATAGATTTTCCACAACTTTATCAAGAAGTTTGGAGTTGATATTCCATTTTATATAGAAAAAAGAAGCTTAGACTATTTTTAAGTTGTAGTTGGTGGTGGTGATGTGCCATGAAGTCTGTTCTGTCTCACAGAGACCCTGCATAGGGTTTCTGAGGCTGTAAATCTTCCTGAGAACAGAAAGCCTTGCCTTTGTCTTGCAGAATGGCTGGTATTTTCGAACTGCTGACGTTGAGTTTAGCAGCCTGACTCGTTACCACTACGCTACCAGAGCTCCTTAAGTTGTAGGTTATGCCAGACATATATTTTATATTAAGTCTAATGTTTTTCCTATGACACCAAATAAATACATCTTTGTAATGAGTTTTAGTGTCTCATTATTAACAAATAAAAAGATGACAATATAAGGCTAAAGGACTATAACCTTGGAGAGTGAATAATTTTAAAATCATTTCCAGGTTCCTGCTATCCACTGTGAAAATGGTTTGAATCTAAGATTTTTCTGATTGAGTGCTAGCTTTTAATTTATATTAAATAATTTCTGGGTGTAAAGATGAAAAACAGTTTTTTCAGCTCATCTAAATTATTTTCTTCAAATGTTTCTGATTTGGCAGACTTTAAAAGTAACGTGTTCAGAGTTTTGATGTTTGATCAGTAGGGGAAATTACCAGCTGCCTGATAGTTAAAGCAATAGGCGTATCCTTATAGGATACATATAATCTGAATCTAATGTGACTCTTCCAGTCTTTATCCCTGTCCTTTGTCAAACAGACAAAAATAGAGCTCAAACAAAGGCCGAAATTGTAGTGTAGTGTATTACGAGCTTAGCTGCTAACCACAAGGTCAGCAGTTCGAATCTACCAGCTGCTCTGCAGAAGAAAGATGAAGCTTTCTGCTTCTGTTCAAGATTTACAGCCTCAGAAGCCCAAAGTCACTCAAAGTCGCTGTGAGTTGGAACTGACTCTGTGGCATAATCACCAACACCACTAACACCATTTATAAAACAAGATATCAAGTAATTGGGGTGAATTTGGAATGTAAGTAATCTTTAGCAATACTGTGGGGTGTCATTATTTTCAGTTTCACCTGCATTTATTAAGTGCTTACTGAATAGTTATAGGGACCAAGGATATGAGGAAATGGCCCATTCCCTGGAGGATCTTGTGGTTTGGTGAGAGATACACAGATACTTATTACTAGAAACCATGTAATGTTGTTGTGTTGTTAAGTGCCGTCGAGTCGGTTCTGACCCATAGCAACCCTGTACAGGGTTTCCGAGGGTGTAAATCCTTACGGGAGTAGAAAGCCTCATCTTTCTCCCGCGGAGCGGCTGGTAGTTTCGAACCGCTGACCTTAAGGTTCGCAGCCCGATTCGTAACCACTAAACCATGTAATAAGTAGTACCAAATAGAAGTATGTACAAAATTTTGTTGTTGCTGTGTGTTGTCAGCTTGATTCTGAAAAACTGCCCATAGGCTTTAATCTCTGCAGGATCAGCTCTCCAGGTCTTTTCTCCTGCAGAGTTGTGGTGGGTTCCAACCACTGAACTTGCGGTTATATTCAGATACGTAACCATTGTGCCACCAAAGCTCCTTGTATAAAATATTAAGGCAAATAAAATATGTAGTCATTAATTACTCTTAAAGTTGGTAGATTAGTCAAGGTTGGGGACCATTGGTGGTTGGTTGGGTCAAGGAAGATTACACAGAGATATAAGAACTGTGCCCTAAGCATATGATTAGTTCACTAGCAGGGCAAAAGAGATGGTAGAAAAAAGCAGCAGGAGTAAAAAGTAACAGGAGGGATGTGTATGTATATGTATTTGTGGGGGTGATAATTAACCTGTTTCAGTGTTTCCAGAATGGTTGTTTAATGCTGGAAGAAATGTCTGACAAGAGAATTTATCATTGACAGGGTTGGCCAGATGGTGAAATTCTAGCCCAAAGACATGATTTATTTGATTTTATTATTATTTTTTTAGACATTTACTTTTGACTCGCTGAATGTTTTAAGAAAATCAGAATTGATGCTGTTGAGCAGAGCATGCACTCTCCAGTTCTCTTATAGATGTTAGCTTTTCTCCAGCTGGTTGCATACATTTGTTTTACTAGCCTCCTTGATAGCACACACTTAACCGTTTTGATCTTTCTGAATATACATAGTGGAAAGTTGTTTAAATGAATTGTATGAGATCTGTATTTTAGAAAGGAAATACTAATAGGCTTAAAAAGAAGCAGGCCTATTAGGAACCATTTGGCTGACTTTGCTGCATGTCTTTATGTCCATAGTATTTAATTTGGCAGTCTAGTATAATAATTTGTGGAAAAGGGATGGATTTATAGTTTTGATGCTTACTGCACAGAACCTGCCTATATTATCTGTGCTGCCATTCAGAATTGAGATCCTTACCGTCCTCAGCTACCATCCCACAGTGCATGCACACACATCCATACAACACACCAGCTGACTTTTTTAAAGTTTTTCACTGTATTTCCTTATAGATTGAATTCCTTTTCCAATTTGTTGTGGATATTACCTCTTAAGAATTATGCCCCGACGTACTAGGGAAAAGAGTCGAAATAGAGCAAAATGTTGTACTTAGTCATTGTTTGTTTTTATTTCAGAACAAGGCACAGAAGAAGTTAAAAAGCTGCTTTTACTTTTGCTGGGTTGTGCTGTTCAGGTAAGTATTTTATCATAGTTTTATTTTGACAGATGTCTTAGTTACCTGGTCCTGCCATAACACAAATAGCATTGTTCTTACAGTTCAGAAGGCTAAACATCTGAATTCAGGATGTGGCTCTAAGTGGAGGTTCTTCCTCACCTATTTCAGGTTCTAGTAGTTGCCTGCAATCCTCCTAGATGAGTCTGTCTTCTCCCTGTATGTCACCGTGCCTTTGCTGGTCTCTCCCGCTAACCCCCCTCATAAATCTTTAGATTTAGGATCTACTCTATACTGCGATGGTCTCATTGACATAATAAACGATTCCAAACAGGATCACATCCACACAGTAATTAACACAGTTGAATCTACAACACTCTCAATATACATGCCCTTATGTCTAAAAACGTAAGTTTTTGTTTTTAGAGTCTTGGTGTGGTGCTGTGAGCTAATGCATCAGACTGCAAAGTCGTTTGAACTGCAACATTAGTGGTTCAAGCTCACCAGCTGCTCCTTGGAAACCCTATACAGGGTCGCTATGGGTCAGAATCAACTCGACGGCACTTAACAACAACAACGTCTAAAAACACATCCTATATTGTTGTTGTTAAGTGCCACTGAGTTGATTATGAGTCATATCGATCCTGTATAAGGTTTCCGAGGAGCAGCTGGTGGGATTGAACTGCTGACCTTGACGTTAGCAGTCCTTTGCTTGTCCTACAGTGCCACACCAGGACTCCCTCAGAAGACTTAACTCCTTCAGTATCAACTCTAGGTCCAAAACTTCATCTTAGTCATCTTAATCAAATATGGGTGAGATTTGGTGTATTTTAAACATCCTGGGGCAAATTTTCTCCATTTATAAACTGTGAAACCTTTAATAAAAATTACCTGCTTTCAAAGTACAATGGTGAGAGAGACACAAGATAGATAGACATTCCCATTTCTAAATGGAAAATTGGATGAAAAGAGTCATAGATACACTAAGCAGTTCTAAAATACACCAAGGGAACTATCATTTCTCAAGACTTGAAAATAATTCATTGTTCTCTAGGCAAAACCTCAAAATATTACAGAAAATAGCATTATTACCATCTAAGAAGAAGAACAACAAAAAAATTACTGTAAAGTCTAAGCTACTTCATCCCCACATTATTGTTTTCTGTATTTCACATGAGAGTATTCCAGATGTGGGAAAATGAAAAGGATAGCATGAAATACATGGGGGTTTCAAAAAGCATTTGGAAAAATGCAATTAAAGATAATGCAAGTTTTCCACCAACTTTTTGAAGTCCATTTGTAACACTTCTAGTAACAAACCAAATGTTAACCGTCCCCAGCTCTTCTAGTTCTACCAGGGTGTTTCCCAAAGAATTTTTCTATATCAAGATTGTTCTACACTTGGATGAATTTTGATACTCATTTTTAAAACAATGTTTATAGTTTTACTTGTGAAGTGTAGTTATATGATGGGTATATTATTCTTAAAACTACTTAATGAAGTCACACTCAGAAATCACTAATTACTGTAATATCAGGCATATAAATTTCTTTTTTATTGATGTACAGAATTAAAAGCTGAACAAGGCAAAGTAACATTTACATACATCTGGCCTTGTTAAAGAGTCTGCCTTCTAAAATAGTTTTATAGTAATACTGGCTTGTGATAAAAACAAGATTTTCAGTGATGTTTTTGTTGTTGTTAAGTGCCATTGAATCGATTCTGACCCAAGTATTCCTAATTTTTAAACTAAGTTTTTAGAGTCATATAACCTGAAAGGAATTTGTAAGGTCACTGGTAATTTAAGTGGTTATTGAAAAGGAATAAGACAATATTTGGGTAAACTTAAATAATCAACATTCATGGAAGCAGCCATCAGCAAATCAGATGACATACAGCATTAGGCAAATCTGCTGCACAAGACCTCTCTCCAGTGTTGAAGAGCCAAGATGTCAGTTTGAGAATTAAGGTATGCCTGACCCAAACCATAGTATTTTTAGCCACCTCACTTGGATGTGAAAGTTAGATGGTGAATAAGGAAGACTGTAGAAGAATTGATACAATTGAGTTATAGTGTTAGAGAAGAATATTCAAAGTGAACTTCTAGAACAAACAAGTCTGTGTTGGAAGAACAGCTAGAATGTTTTTTAGAAGCAAGAATGGCAAGACTCGTCTCTCATATTTCAGACATATTATCAGGAGGGACTAGTGGAGAAGGACATTATGCTTTTTTAAATGGAGGGTCAGCAAAAAAGAGGAAGACCTCCAACGGGATAGATTGGCACAGTGGCAGCAGCAATGGATTTAAGCATAACAACAACAGTGAGAATTGCGTGGGACTGGGTAGTATTTTGTTATGTTGTGTACAGGGTTGCTATGAGTCGAAGCTGACGTGACATCACCTAACAACAAGCTATAAGAAACTACAGAATGGAAAAATGGTTTAAAAGGACTATTATATTAATAGGTATGGCTATGTCATTAGAAATTAAGATGGAGAATAGAGTTGATTTTGAGATGTTTAGAAAGAACAAGGCAGGGTAAAGATAAGTTTTGAAGTTGAGTGGAGAAATTTGTTAACCTTATTTTTTTTTAAATTTAGGAGAAATAGTTCATAGAATCCACAGACATAAATACTTGCTGTGTTACAGAGTGACTTCAGAGAGGTATGGCTCAAGTCTACAAAGAGTATTCAATAGTGTACTGTATTTGGAAGATATCCAGAGTCTAAAGTAGCAAATTTATTTGTGAATGAAGACAGTAAATACAAGCAGACTGATTTTTTTTTTTTTTTAAATCTAATGTGGAAAACAAAGAGATGACTCAAGAAAGAAAGCTATTATCCTAACCTTATCAACAATATTGAAGATTTTTGTAAATATGATGATATACAAAAGGGCTTTAAAAAATTCATGGGGAAATTCCATTATCTTTTGATTCCAGTTTTTCTTTAACTTTTTGAAGACTTTTAGCACAAAGGTTGTCAGACTTTGGTCTTTGATGTGAGCTTATCAAGAGACTTGGAGACTAGTATTTGAATTTATTTTGTGTCTTTAATCATTACAGATTTTTTTTTACTTGAAAGTCCAAGAAAATTTTCATGTATTGCTGAGCCAGAATGGTATTATCTACCAAGAAAGGACACAAACCAGAGGCAGTCATTGGAACAGAATAAGGGGTTACTAAATGGCTTAAATTCAGGAAAGGTGTGCACTAGGGTTGTATCCTTTCACTTTACTTATTCAAATTTTATGCTGAGTAAATAATCTGAAAACTGAATTACAAAACTATGTCATCAGGATTGGACAAAGACTGATTAACATGTGATATGCAGATGACATAATCTTGTTTGCTGGAACTGGACTTAAACTACCCATCAAGAGCAAAGACTTTAAATACGGATTGTACCTCACATGTGAAGAAAACACAAATCCTTGCAACTAGACCAGTAAATAACATCATGATAAATGGAGAAAAGATTGAAGATATCAAAGATTTCATTTTACTTCGATCCACAGCACTAAGGGAAACAGTAGTCAAGAAATCAGTTGACATATTGCATTAGCCAGACCTGCTGTAAAAGATCTCTCAAAAGTGTTAAAGAGCAAAGATGACAGTTTGAAGACTATAGTGCACCTGACTCAAGCCATAGTATTTTCAGTTGACTCACGTACATGTAAGGTCCCCTGGTCATGTAGTGGTTATGAATCAGGCTGCTAATCTCATGGTCAGCAGTTTGAAACTGCCAGCTGTTCCACGGGAGAAAGATGAGGCTTTCTGCTCCCGTAAAGATTTACAGCCTTGGAAACCCTGTACAGGGTCGCTATGAGTCGGAACCGACTCCACGGCACATAACCACCACCACCAGTGCTAACAGTGGTAGTCCTGTAGTGGGTTATGTGTTGGATTGTTAACTGCAGGTCAGCAGTTCAAATCCACCAGCTGCACCACAGGGGAAAGATGAGGTTTTTGGCTCCTGTGGAGATTTACAGCCTCAGAAACCTTATATGCTAGGTTGTTATGAATCAGAAGTGACTCCATGGCACACAACAGTGCTAATATCCAATATGTAAAAATCAAAATCCACTGTTAGCTTTTTATCTGTGACTATCTGAACAAGTAGAAATCTTTGTTAATATTGAAGAACCAAAATGTTTTTTAAGGACAAGAAGCTACTTAAGAAGCCAGTTCGCAGCTAGTATTGTTTGAATACTAGAATATAATATCTATTGCAGAAAATTTCTGGTAGTCTGTTAATAATGGAACAGGCTCAAATTCTGATACTTAATAAAAGACATTTTTCTATATCTGGGTTAGTTTCATATTTTATAATCATGATACTTATGTATAAATGGCAAGATTAAGGTTGCTGATACAATACTATAGTCCAAGAATTCAGTGGGTCAGAGGTTTCAAAATATATTTGTTCAGAGAAATAGAAAAGCAAGAAAAATGGGAAAGGAAAAAAAAAGTTTATTCTTTTTAGGAAAAAATTAGGAAAGTTTCAAAAGGAAGAAACTTTTGAGAGCCATAAAGTTAACCACACTTCAAAGAGTTTACCTTACAGAATAAATTGTAACTAAATTTTGTATCATTGATTACACATTAATATAAGACACAGAATTGACTTTGACAATGAAGAAAACTTTTAGGTTACATCCATGAACCAGAGATTGAGTATTTTCATTATTGACTGAAGTTTTAACAGAATATTATTTTCAGTAGGTACCATGAGTTGCTTGAGCCAACTTCTGTATATCAGCTAGGGTTTTCAGAATTCAGCCCTAAGAGTTGAAGGGTTTCCAAGCTAAGTTATTCTAAACAGGAGAATAAAAAAAAAAATTTTTTTTTGAGAGTTGAGGCTTTCTTTATTCGATTTTGCAAAATCAGGTGCCCAACCCAGAGGATACAGGCAGACACAAGACGTGGCTGGCTCTGCAAAGAATATTATCCTATCCCAAGAAGGTCCCAAGAAGGAAAACTTTTTGTAATATTTGTTTGCAAGTTTCTTTCTTCTAAA